GGCACCTGTGGTTGATTTCTTGGGGACATCTTCCAGGTATGGATGGTGATTTCCGTGTGTTTTGGTGGCACATTAGAAATCATGAGATACACAGGTTAATTGTAGAGATCACTGTGTTTATTCTGGTGCCAAGTGAGATTAGGGATTTACAGATACGGACTGTTTCATGATTTTACTTAACTGTATTTTACAAATTAACTGTATTAACTTACTTAACCATATTTTAAAGTCAAATTTTCTGCTGATTTTGTTGGTGAGAGAAGAAAATGCTGATAATTGTGCAGTTTGTGGAGTCTTGGAGAATAGGGTTATAAAAACAGTACATTGACTTTCAAACGTAGGTTGTAGTTACACCAGTTTTGGATTGTTTGATGTGGGGATTTCATGGCTGTTACTGATGAATATAGTACATTCACATGGCTTAAGAGACGCTAAGAAGTTTGGTTTGAGGGGAGGGAGGAGTAAAGGGAATAGAGCAAAGAGACTTTTTCCTTCACTGCAGAATTTCTAGGAAGTCCTTTGACTTTTTCCATGTAGCACTGAGTCGTAGCCCTGCTCTGGACTCCTGGCATGTGGATGTACAGAACAAGACGTAGCGCAGGTGGGTGCTCTGCACGGTTCTTTGGTGGTTAGAGTTTGCTGTGGCAGATCTGGACAGTGGACGATGCAGCCCAGTTATTTCTTGCACCTAACACTCAGCCCGCGTGAAACCAAGCCAACAAGCAGCAGCCACAAAGCTTAGCTGTTTTTGTAATTCAGTTCATGAGCCTGAGAGTGGAGCCCTTCCTGGCCCATGAAGCGTGTGACTTAGGGACCAAATGTTGAGGTTCTGCACCCCTTACCTGAGCGTGCAGACAATATTTTGTATCACTAGCCACAACAAAGGACAGATGGAAGTTAATGTGACTTTTCTGTTAGACCGTGTTGTTCCCTTGTAGGAATAAGAAGCTGCTGAAATAGTCTGTGTGAGCGCTCGAAGCAAAGGAGAAAAATTCAGAAATAAAAATAGTTTCTTAGCAACTATTTCTGGTTGAAATGTGCTGCTCGTCATGCCTATTGAGTTATTTTCTCTTTTTACCTGTCTGAAAATTATTTGCATAATATATTTACTGATTTTTGTATAAGTAAGCATTGTTTGTTCTTCATCTTCAAACAAAAAAGTTCAGCTTGTGTTTCAAAGTTAGTTGCTGTGGCAGTTTCCAGCTCTCATACGATGTACGGTTCATCCTCTTGAATCAAAGTGTGTGTTCATTCTGCTTCCTGGGGAACTGGCTGCAGCTTTTAGAGAGGAACGAGAGATGCTCAGTAAAGAGTAGTGCATTTTGGTGCAAAATTAATCTTGCTAAAAGTCACAAAGTCATCTTAAATAAATGAAATAATAATAAATTCTTAAAAACACATCAATGACCTGGATTCTGGAATACACAGTTACAGCTAAATAGCAGCACCCAAACGCCCTTCATGCCATACCTGATCAGAACAGCAAATGTAATGAATTTTGCATTCTCTGATGAAAAGGGCTGATTTCCTCAATGGAACTTTCTCACACCACTTGTGAGGGGGTGTCCACAAATAACCAGATATTATACTTCTTTTCACACGTGGAAAATATCCCTGATTTTTTTTTTTTTTTTTCAAAGTTGTGAAAGTGATAATTCAGCATGGAATTTCCAAGCTCCAAAGAGCTCTTTTGTTCAAGGAGCTACTAAGCTAACAAAATTGAGTGAATTAGCATTTTCACCACTTGTAGAGATGTAAGGAGCCGATGCACTGTGCTTTCTTAGCATGCTTGGTGCCTCATACATCCATTTCCATCTGATGTTGTTACACTTTCTGTACACAACAACTGGAAAGTTCCTATTACCCAAAGTATTGGATCCAGGGAAATTTTCAGCTTATGGCCTTTTCCATTTTTAATAACATCACGCTTCATTGGCTGTGAGCATGTAAATATATGAGGGCAGAAAGGAGAGGGCTGCAGATGGGTCCTTTACCCAAATGTTCCACATGTGGGTCACTGTGTCTAGATGGGGGGCAGAGAGCAGGAGGGGAAAACAGGGCAACTTGGTAAACTTTTCACCAGAAGTCAGAATGATGACAAGTAATGGTGGATTTAAATATTTGGCTTACAGTGCTTGCCTTCAAACTCTGGATATTTGCTTGTAACATTTCTAACTGGTGTTTTCACTGCAGGACATTCCAGTTGGAGATAGCATATATAAACATGCATACGTACTTATGCACACATATATAGTGGGAGAGGGATCTTGGGATTGTATAAGTAGCATTTTATATTCAGTGCATCAAAATATATGTGTGTTTGAAAGACTTAATAGCTGATTCTGAAGCACTCTTCCAAAAATAAGTATTGTACCAAAACTGCTTAAGAGCAATCACTTTATTGATGTAAATGGTGATGGTTTCTGGATAGTCTTATGCTCATTTAAAGAGTGACAAGGAAAATCACACAAGTGAGTTGCAGTATTATTTTGCTCTTGTGCATGAGGGAATGCTAGTAAAAGATGGTGGTCTCACCAGGAAGGTGGTGGGAAATAATGTTTTCGAGAGCTGCTGTGCCCTGCATGGGCATAGGGCACTCCTGAGCACCAAGACTGACTTTGATATAGCCTCAGAAAACTCATCTGCCTTGGAGTTGAGTGAGTGGTGAGTTTTTTGGTGGCAGGAGAGGGGGATATCAGGGCGGCCCCCTGTGAGAAGTTTCTCGAAGCTCCCCCAGCTCCACATCAGCTCCACTTCTGTTTGGGAAATTGAGCCAATCGGCTGCGCCTCTGCGATAACGTATTTAAGAAGGGACGTGGTGACGGGCAGTGGGACTTGTGAGGAGGAGTTGCTGCAGCTGCATGAACACCAAGGTCAGTGGGGGAACGGAGGAAGAAAGGAGGGGGGAGGTGTGCTGGAGCAGAGACCCCCCTGTATCCTGTGGGGAGACGGCAGGGCATCCCCCCCTGCCGCCCATGAAGATCTACGGTGGAGCAGACATTGATTTATGGCCTGTTGCTCCTGCTCGGAAAATCAAGGTGCTGTGCCCGAAGAAGGCCGGGGTCTCATGGGAAAAGGCAGCCCCGCTGCTGTAATTCAGCACTGGGAGGATTGCAGCGTGCGGGGGAGTCCCACGCCGAAGCAGCTCGGGAAGGGCTGCAGCTGTGGGAGGGAATCCAGTCGGAGGAAGTTAGTGACCCATGACGGAGCAGTGTGGGGAACACTGCGGCCCATGGGAGGGACTCATGTCGGAGAAAGTTTGTGGAGGACTGTCTCCTGTGAGAGGGGGACCACGATGGAGCAGGAGGAACAAGTTTCGGACACTCCCCTCACCGAAGATGAAGGAAGTGGCAGCACTGCCTGCACCCCCCATTCCCTGCCCCTGCGCCACTGGGGGAGGAGGTAGAGATATCGGGAGCAGAGCTGAGCCCGGGAAGAAGGGAGGGGTGGGGGGAAGGTGTGCTCAAGATGTGGCAATGCTTCTCACTGTCCTACTCTGTTATGTGTTGTTAGTGTCTGTAATAAATGTATGTTCTTTTTTTTCTTCCCCTAACGAGTCTGCCTTTTGCTCGTGATCATAAAAGGGGGATTTTTCCCCATCCCAGTCCTATCTTGAACCCCAAGCCTGGCTCTCTGTCCCTTCTCATTGCCGGAGGGGAAGGGAGAGAGAGCTGCTGCATTGTGGTTGGCTGCCAACCAGGCCTAAACCACAACAGTTTTCCATCTGAAACACGGAAAGTACCTTATCTCTGCTTTGCTGTGGGTTAGAGAGTTAACTGAATTTGTATGGCAGGCTTGAATAGTCTTGGATGCAGATAGAGATCCTTGGGATACACTGTGCCTCTCTAAACGATAATGTTCTCTCAGTTGTGTGCACAACGTTCGGCCTCAAGTTTTTCCTGTGAGTACAGGATGGGTTTTCCTCATCTGACAAAACCCAGCCAAGAAAGTGCAACCAAGGTGCTTGCGATGGGCTCTGTTGCATGGTTTCATCTCAAAAAAGAGCATCTTATTGCCTTTTCCCATTGACCACTGCCTGCAGAGGTACTTTGAGCCCCCTTACCTGCTAGAGTTTCCCCACCTGAACAAGGCGGTGCAGCCCTCGGCTGTTGGGTGGGGTACAGCAGCCGTGGGGATGGAGGGAACCCCCCCACTGCCACGAGGAAGGAGCAGGGTGTGTAAACCAGGACAGCCTGTAGCCTCGGGCATCTGCTTACGTCTTCTCATTCAAACAGCTGGCACAAAGCTCTTGTGCATGGACATGTTTGTTTCCAGATTGGAGATGACACTACTGGTTGTATTAATGTTGTTTGGCTGATATCTCTATTTTCTTCTATCAGTGCTCTGATATCATGGAGGTAAGGAAGGGCTTTTAAATACCTCCAGAGACAGGTAACAAACACTGAAGGTTCATGAGTTATTTTGATTACTCTTCAGTTGTCAGCAGGTCAGCCTCATTTAGCTGCTGTGACTTCCTATTCATTTTGGAAATGACAAGTATTTTAGCAATGTATATTCTGTGTTGATATTTTATTAAGATTTGATCCTGCAAAAAATTGACCATGTGCTAAATGTGTGTATTGGAAGCTTCGGTGACTTCCCAAGCATCACAGAATCATAGGATGATTTGGGTTGGAAGGGACCTTTAAGATCACCCAGTCCCAACCCCCCTGCAAGGGGCAGGGGCACCTAGCCCCCAGCCCAGGGTGCTCAAAGCCCCGTCCAACCTGGCCTTGAATGTTTCCAGGGATGGGTCATCTACCACATCTCTGGGCAACCTGCTCCAGTGTTTCGCCACCCTCATTGTAAAGTTTCTTCCTTATAACTAGTCTTACTACCCTCTTTTAGTTTAAAACCATGACCCCTTGTCCTATCACTACAGGATTGTTAAAATCATATATAAGCATAAAGTGAAGGCATAAGCATAAGTCTTTAGGAAGTCTGATTATGCAAAATTTGTACTTTATCATAGTAAACTTTTACTTTTTTTCACATTTCAGCCTTAAAAAAAGGTCGTTTTTGGATCACCCCTGACCCGTATCACAAAGATGACAACATCCAGATTGGGCGAGAGGTGAAAATCTCCTGCCAGGTGGAAGCCATCCCTTCTGAAGAGCTCATGTTCAGCTGGTTTAAAAATGGACGTCCCTTGCGAAGCTCTGAAAGGATGGTCATTACACAGACTGACCCCGATGTTTCACCTGGCACCACAAACCTGGACATCATTGACTTGAAATTCACTGACTTTGGGACATACACATGTGTTGCATCTCTGAAGGGAGGTGGCATATCGGATATCAGCATTGATGTCAACATCTCCAGCAGCACAGGTAAGGGGGCTTACTTTGATATAGCCAAGCTGTGGTTTTTCTTTACTCAAGGAAAAAAAAAGGTGTATAGACCGAGCACTTCTCACCACGGGGATGTCTAAGCTGACTCTAGGTCAGGGGCTGAGTTCCTTTTATTAAAGGGCAGAAACCTGAATAAGTGGCATGTGATGCGCTCTCCCAAGAACATGCTAGTATCTGATTTACCCAGGCGTGTCCTCTTTTACTGTCAGAAAAGTTATTGCTTCTATAAAAGGACTTTGGCCTTTATTTAGGACTTCAAGGCATCCAGAGTCATGAAAAAATAGCTAGTAGGAAATTACAAGGAGAAACGGGAGGGTGCTATGTCAACCAAACTGAATCCATCCAGCTACTCTAATCGACTTGCAAGTGCCAAGTATGGAGGAAGGAGCTCTTTTTTCTTAAAGATTACGCATTGCATGTGGTGAATCATGCTAATCCCAATAGGCAAAACGTTTAAGGTATCTAATACGTGTATTTCTAGATCAGTGATTGAAACATCTCTTTGATGAGCTAGAGCCTTGACTATTACTCTGAATGATAATAAATATCTTGTACAATGGAGTAGGAATATGTAACATGATTCCTTTTCTTTATCTCATTGCTAATAGCTGGTTTGTAACCAGTGGATTTCATAGACTTTTCCCCCAAGTAGTTGACTTCAATAACTGAGGTAGTCCATGTTAATAAAATGAACTAGAAAACATTCTGAACGCAGAATTTGTTTCCTGCCAAAATTTAGTTACAAACAAACAAACAAACAAAAAGAGTTATTGCTGGTTGATTTCTAAAGAGAAGGATAAAAAAAAAATGCATTTCTGTTTTCAGAACACTATTTTATATTCAAATGGAGAGGCAAATAGTGTCAGTATTATATTTACTAGCCATCTTGTCTTTTATATGAAGCGTTGCTGTGCTGTTCCTCAGATTGTGCTTGTTATTCACTGGCTTCAGGCACATAGTGCATGCCATTTAGAAGTAAGGCAACAAAGAACACACTGGAAAACCTTTTTATAGCATGGCAGGAAAATGTTTAATAGACATCTTCTGACCCCTTTTTACCAAACATTCAAGTATGTACTTTCTACTTTTTCAAAAAGATTAAATGCACACTTTTGCCTCAAAGAATATATCCACAGTTCTATTCTCCAAATTTTACAACATCGGTAATACTTTGCAAGTACATGTCACATCTAAACAATACCTTACAACTTTAATGATAAATTATTGTTTAGGTTTTAATACATGAGCCTGCCTTCCGTCTTCAGTACGATACTGGCACCGTGGATCCTATCTGAGTGCCACATTGCTCCTGACATGCATCTGGAAGGTTTGCCCACCTAAAGGGTTTCATGAAGAATATTATGTCCAAGAGGGAGCTGGGACAGGATTGACCTGTGGTTTGGATAGGAGCCTGGGAAGTAAATCCAGGTGATTGAGTTAGGGGCTACTTAAGCAAAATGGACATATATAGCCCCACGGGACTGAATAAGAGGTGTCTAAGGGAACTGAGCAGTGTCACTTTAAGGCCACTTTATTACCTTTGAAAAGTCATAGTGACCTAAGGAGATCCAACCAAGACTGGAAAACCAGAAATTTTAGCCCATCTTCCAAGAAGGCAAGATGGAGATGCAGGGGACTGCAGGCCAGTCATCCTCACCTCAGGAGGAAGGTCAGGGAGCATGTTCTCCTAGAAGTCATGTCAGTCCCCATGAAGGACCAGAAGGTGACAGGAAACAACCAGCAGGGTTTATCAGAAGTGGACTGTGCCTGACCCAACCTGGTTGCCTGCTGTGATAAAAAGACTGTCTCTGTGGGCAAGGGGAGGGAAAGGAAAGCTCTTACCTTGAGTTTAGTAAATCCTTCAGCAGAGTCTTTTGTAGCATCTTCATAGCCACACTGCCGAAACATGGTTTGGAGAGGTGGACTGGGCATAAGGTGTGTTTGGAAAATTAGATGCAGAGAATTGTGTTCACTGATAGAGAGTCAAAATTTGCGTGTGTGTAAGTGAATGAGCAGTCAGCATTTACGCAGCTCACCTTTGCTGTGTCCCACCCTGAAATGTAATGCATACATACACAAACCTACAGAGACAGGAGGAAAACTCTAACTTTATTTAGTTAGTTCTTATTCTACCATTTATTATTTATTTTCTCTTTGTGCTATTGTTCAGGGATCCTTGAATATTTTACTTCTTTTTGCTAAATTTTGTAAGTGTAAACCAAAAGTATTTATTTTTACTGTTTGATAACTCTTGAAATGATTTTGCGCAATTATGTGGACTTCTAGTTAACTTCAGAATGACTTTGCTGGAGCAATGCACGGAGCCTGGGGAGATAGTTGTGGAGGGCTGTTCCTTTGAAGTGGTACAGGCTGGGGCTGCCTGGCCCAGCTCTGCAAGGTCCCGGTAGCCAGGAGTGAAGATGAGCAGCAGCATACCCTGGCAGCGATGAAGGCCAACGGACACTGTCTCCAGTTTGGGTCCCCAGTGCAGGAGAGGCTTCAACAAACTGGGGTGAGTCCAGTGAAGGCTGTGAAGATGGTCAAGAGGATCTGGGGGAAGGGGGCCTTGTCCAGCCTGGAGAAGAGACAGCCTTGGGGCACCTAACAGCAGCTGTCCCCTGCCTGTAAGGGATGTATCAAGAGGATGGAGTTGGGCTCTTTGCAGGAGTGTGTACTGGGAAGGTGAGAGGCAATGAGCATGAGTAGAAATGAGAACTTCAGACTGGATATAAGGAGCGACTTTTTCCCCATGAGGATGTCTGAGCAGGAAGCAGAGACACTGTGGGACGTCCATTCCAGGAGGTTGTGAAGACCTGTTAAAGCCCTGAGCAGCCTGGTCTGACCTCACATCTGGCCATGCTTTGAGCTAGGGCTTAGTCTGGAGACCTCCTGAGCTCCCTTCCCACCTCGACTATCAAATGAAGACTGTAGGGTTAGAAACGCTAACCAACAGATTCATGGACAAGGGAACAGCCTGTCTCTCGGCCAAAAGAAACATGTTCTTCAAACTTATTAATGTACACCTTACTAACAGGTAAAAAACTGAAAGGGTTATTATAGGGTAAGAGCCAAGTTTGGCATGATGGATGGCAATTGCATGCAAACTTTGCTACCTGCTTGCCAGGGTGAAGTGGCCAGTGATGTTTGCGCAGTCATGCATTGCCCATCTGGCAGACAGTAACCGCTGTATTATCTGTACTTGCTGGAGAATCATTTGGGAAATTGATGGGATTTATTGGAAACATCCATTAGATGGCCATACATATGAGCTCGTCACAGTTTCTGCAGGCAGTGATGAATTATGTCAGCTCTTAAATTTACTGTCCCATAACATTCAAGAAAATCAGAAAGGGGGAGAAAAACCTAGCGCTTAGGATCAGCCTTATTTAGCATCTTAAAAGAAGTTCTGCCTAATTATATGACTTCATTACCCGATTAAGTGGAAGCTGAAATAGTTTCACTGTGCTTTTGAAGGTCATTACTGATTCATCAGGATTCATTACTGCTGTAGTAATTATGAACATAAGGCCTAGGCACAAACACGTTTTCCAAATGCCAGGATTTGCACGGATATGTTAACACCGCGCTGTTCTGGTTTTGGGGAGAATTCTCTCTTCCTGACGTGCACGAGGTTCTTCCTGGAGTCACCAAGTGAGGCAGGAGGGGCTGTGTCACCTTGTAAGGAAGGAGGGAGGCAATTAGACCTCCTCTGTCCCTCCAGCGTATTGGAAAGGGATGTGTGGAAGTGCAAGGGACATGCCAGCCTCTTGGCATACTCAGCATCGCTCTTCTATAGCAGGAATGTTTTTCCCTTGACATTTTGTACTTGCAACAGGAAAGGCATAGATTTATGTCCTGAGTATCATATATAAATGGACCTGAAGTAATCCTCTAGCAACCTCCCCCCCCCCATCTCTATGATTTAGGTCACTGAATAGTGGAAATGAAGAGTCAAATGTTGAATATTTGCCCTATAAAAGCCCGGTCATCCATAAAACGAACCCTGGCCAAATGTTACTGAAAGACAAGATGGCTCTTCCGTGTATGTGTGTGTGCATGTCATGGGGAATCTGAAGGCAGAAGGTGTTAAAACAGCAACAAAAATCTCCCAGTTAAATAGGCTCATGGTAAGCAAAAAAGAGAGGTGGATCAGGAGAGTGTGTTAGTCTTTGTAAAAGATCTTCTTCTCTGCCTCAAATTTTATATGCAAAGCAGAAAGAATAAGGCTTTAGGTGATGTGTGGTCTGCTCTGTTCATATAGGTTCTTACGCTGTTTTTATCCCCCTAAAATCAGTATCAGCACAGTAAAGGATGTAACATCTGTCACTCTGCCTTACTCTTTTTTCATCTTCCCCCTGCAGGTAGTATTGTGCAGTGAAGTGAGTTGTTGTTTCAGGGGGGTTATTTTATTTTATTCTCTGGCCGCACTGCTCTGAATTACTACTAGAAGGGCTGGATGGAGGAGAGGCCTGATACTCTTGGGCTGGAGGTAGTGGTGATGCTTCTTTTCCCGAGAGGGTCCTGTCTACCATTTCCCTCCTACCCAGAGTGGGCACAACTAGATCTTGTACATGACAAATACGTCAACCAAATTCTTCATCTCTGGGTGAACCTGAAGATGTGCTGAGCTGAGCATGTACCAGCCCAGGTACCCTGGGGTAGGCAGATCCCAGAGGGGACATGGACTTTGGGCACAAGCACAGGGCAGGCTGGTGGCCTCCAGGTCTCCGGTTCCACCTCCGAGGCCAGTCATGTCGACAGATAGATTTGGTTTTACGTAAGTGCTGCCAGAGACAGGCAGAGAAATTCCTGCAGAACTAGTATATATGAGGCCGTGTATCTTCCCTGAAGTATGGTAAGAGGGTTACCCTGTTAATCTAATCAGCTATCTATTAAATAATGAATTAATTAAACATCCAGGCTGATGTATTAGGACATGTGGCCTTGATCTGTTTGAGAAGTATGTGTCCCCTGGTCAT